ACTGGCTTGTGGCAGCCAAGCGTCCATAGCGACGTTGCTTTTTGATTCTTCGATGTCGGCTCTTCCTATCATTGCGAAGTAGAACTCGCCAATTGTTGGATTGTTCACCCACTAATAGGGAACGTGAGCTGGGTTTAGACCGTCGTGAGACAGGTTAGTTTTACCCTACTGATGAGTTCGTTGTCTAAACAGTAATCCAACCCAGTACGAGAGGAACCGTTGGTTCAGATAATTGGTAACTGCGGTTAGCTGAAAAGCTAGTGCCGCCAAGCTACCATCTGTAGGATTATGGCTGAACGCCTCTAAGTCAGAATCCATGCTGGAATAGACGATAATCACCTTTCCCGATGTGCCGCGAATAGCGATAGGTGTCTTCTGGACACCCAACATCATACAATTGCAACGCACTCCGCTGCCTGTCAAGTACTGGCGGTGGAGAGTAGGCTGATTTGTAATTTCAAATATTGGGAAAGATAAATCCTTTGTAGACGACTTAACTACAGAACGGGGTGTTGTAAGCATGAGAGTAGTCTTGTACTACGATCTGCTGAGATTTAGCCCTTGTTCTATTGATTTGTTCAGAAATGAACATTTCTCCCCCCAATTGCAAACGCGCAATGTTAAAACTATAAAGTTAAGCAGTCGAAATAAGGCTGCGTTAAAGTGATTTACTTTCGCTATGGGGCGGCGAAAGTAACCGGTCAAAGTGCTGGTAGAGAGTTAATACTGTTAAGCTTAAGATCGTCAAAGTCTTTGTTTTGGCTTAGTGAGGTTTGTTCGCAAAAATCGCTAAGTGCCGCTGCTATTGTTTTCCGAGCCAAATTCGGCGACCTTAGTATCGGGTTTATAACAGGCAGAAAGCGAGAAACACTTTGCGTGAAAATCGCTAAGTGCCAGCGCTAATGATTTCTGAGCCAAAATCGGGAGATTTTAGTATGGGGGTTTAACAGGGCAAGCTAGACGGCAGGGCGTAAAATTAGACTTGGTTTAAGTATGTTAAAAGAGAGCGAATAGCGTGAATTAGACTTGGTTTAACTATGTTAAAGAGAGCGGAATAGCATGAATTAGACTTGGTTTAACTATGTTAAAGAGAGCGGAATAGCATAAAATAGACTTGGTTTAAGTATGTTAAAAGAGAGCGAAATAGCGTAAATTAGACTTGGTTTAACTATGTTAAAGAGAGCGGAATAGCATGAAATAGACTTGGTTTAACTATGTTAAAGAGAGCGGAATAGCATGAAATAGACTTGGTTTAAGTATGTTAAAAGAGAGCGAAATAGCGTGAATTAGACTTGGTTTAAGTATGTTAAAGAGAGCGGAATAGCATGAAATAGACTTGGTTTAACTATGTTAAAAGATAGCGAAATAGCGTGAATTAGACTTGGTTTAAGTATGTTAAAGAGAGCGGAATAGCATGAAATAGACTTGGTTTAACTATGTTAAAAGAGAGCGAAATAGCATGAAATAGACTTGGTTTAAGTATGTTAAAAGAGAGCGAAATAGCGTGAATTAGACTTGGTTTA